GAGGGTTAGGAGGGGAGAAAAGTGCAAAAATGAATGAATGGAAATCCAAAGTCTCTGTAAATTTTCATTGATATTAATAATAAATTTAAAAAAAAAAAAGAATTGGTTCTTCCAGCTCTTTTTCAGGAACCAGTGGCCCTTTTCCTCAGTTCCACCATTACAGGGAGCCCATTTGGCTTTCATCCAGAGCACCTTTGACCCTGTTTCCAAAGAAGGGCATACTTGCAGGTCAGGAGTGATAGGAGGGTAGTGGGCTTGAAAAAGAGCTGACCAAGTGTTCAAGGCTAATGAGCGGCTCCTCAGTGTAGCGGGGTGGGAAGGAAGAGGGAGACAGGTAGATGGGGGCCATGAGAGATGTGTGTATAACAGAGAGGAGGCAGGGAAGGAGAGAAAGAACGAGACTATAATGGGGGGTGGGTGTGAAAGAGAAGCAGAGTGTGATGTGTGTGTATGCAGGGAGAATGGGACCATGCTGACGTGTGTTAACAGGTAAGTATGTTGTGAGGAAGAGAAGAAACCAAGACCATGAGGGGGAGAACATGACCGTAATGAGGGTGCGTGTACACACACATGTGCACAGATGTGTATGTTGGGGAAAGGAGAAGGGAAAGCAGGTCCATGATGGAATATGAGAGAGAATAGGTGTGTATGTTAGGAGAGGAATGGCCCAACTAGGTGTGTGTGTCTGTCTGTGTTTATACACAGGTGGGTGCGTATGTGAGAGTGTGTGTGTATAAATGTGTATGTTGAGGAGGGGAGAACAGGACCAGGATGACAAGTATGTGTGCACATGCACACATGTGTGCATAAACAGGTGCATACAGAGGGATAGGAGCACAGGAATATGACTCTGTGTGTGTGTGTGTGTGTGTGTGTGTGTGTGTGTGTGTGTGTGTAGGTGCAAATAGAGAGAGGAGCATGGAACAGCGGGGGAGGGGGGTGTATGTGTATGCAGGTGCATGCAGAGGGATAGGAGCACAGGAACACGACAGTGTGTCTATGAACAGGACCACAGTGGTGACTGTGTGTACGCACACATGTATGTGCAGATGTATACAGAAGGAGGGGAGCATGAGGCCACAATGGTACATGTATGTGTGCATATGTACAGGTGCATATGGGGGGGTAAGGAGCATGGGACTGTGATGGCATGTGTGTACAAGCGGGGAGCCCGGGTACACTGTGGCATGTATACGTTTCTGTGTGTATGTGCACAGGAGCATACAGGGGAGGAGAGCATGTTAACACAGTGACGTGTCTGTATATGCACAGGTGTATACAGGGGAGAGGGGTATGGAAACAATGGGGGGTGTGGGTGCATACATGGGGAGGGAAGCACAGAACCACAATGGCGTGTGTGTACATACAGAGGGAAGGGAGCACAGGATCTGGTGTGTGTCCATCCATGTGTGTCACAGGCATATACAAGGGGAGGGGAGCATAGGACCATGATGGGGTGTGTGTTATCTACATGTGTGCGTGTATGTGCACATACATACAGAGGGGAGGGTGCACAGTATCAGGATGATGTGTGAGTGTGCACACAGGTGCACATATATGTGTATCAGCAACATGAGCCCACGGTGCTTGGCTCTGCTGTGCTGGTGGGCTCAGTCCACTTCCCTCAGCTTCCATGTGAGTCCACACCTGGCCTGAGCCCCTTTTGGGTTTCCACTCCATCCTATGGGGTCCTTACAAATCATCCTGCAATCTCCGCTGACTTACAGATTTTTACCGTTTTATTTGTTAAACAGAATACAGAAGACCTTTGCCAATTTGACAGTTTCTCCATGGACAGCTCAGTTACAGTGACATTTTTCCAGCTGGGAAGTCATCTTCATCCTCTGAGTTGCTCCTCCCCCACTCACTTCGAGTCATTGCCACTTAAACTCCCTGTCTAGTCCTTCAAGTTACTCCTGTCAGTTTGTTCTTCTATATATAGTTCTTGAAGTATCATAATGTTCAGATTTTTTTTTAAACTAAGCTAAACTGTTTAAGATGGTTTAAGGAGCTATTTAGGGATTTAAGATATAAAGATTACTCCAGGACAGTAGTTTTGGGAGCGCATGTGTTTTCATGGTTCCAGAAAGTCAAGTCCATGATGATTTGAAATTCTGTTCTACATTTTCCCCAAATGTGATCAAAATGTTCAGTAGTAGTGACCAGGCACCATAGTTCTTAGGTTCTCCTGGGACGGCAGCAGTTGTTTGTAGAAGTAACTACACATTCTAGATCCTCCTTCTATTTCTGAATCTCCTTCCTTTGTTGATTCAGATGAATAGAGACTAATTGTGATTTTGATGACCACTTGCCAGCTTTTATATTCCCAGTCACGACTCACCTCATTGCATTTGAGGCAGGCCCATTGGAACTGACTGGTAACTAGTGACTTTCCATGGATCTTAATCACATCAGAGGAGACTGCCCATCTTTATCCTACAGAGCAGCTGGAGGATTTGACCCACCAGAGAGCCTTGCTCTTTGGGTTAGCAATACAACTGTCTACAGTTTATGCCCCCAATGCTCCTGTTCACCAGCTAGTGTTCAGTCGAATCAGAACCAATCCATAGCTGACCCTACAGTGGATTTTCAGAGGCAGTAAATTACTTGGGAGTCTCTAATGAAGCAGCTGGTGGATCTGAACCCTGTACCTTTGTGTTGGCAGTGGAACTGGCTTTGATTTGTGTCTATGCTAGCAGAAGGTCAAGGACTGTAGTCTTCAAGGACTTGATGCCTTCGGCATCAAAGAGACAAAAGATTCTCACTGATGGGCCAGTTGACAGCACCATGATGGATAGAGAAGAGATTGAAATTGTTAACAGTAATGAAATTGTTAACAGTAACAACTTGCTCGCTCCACAATCAACACTCTGCTGTCAGGGACCCCTCCAGAGTACTGAAAAGCAACAGTGTCACTCTTGATACTTAAGGTGCACCTGATCCAAGCCATGGACTTTGCAATTACTTGCTATGCATCAGAGTGCTAAGATAGTGACTAAGGATACAGAAGAATTGATGCCTTTGCGTTGTGGTGCTGGAGAAAAGTCTTGAACATACATGGACCTCCAAAAAAACAAATAGGTCTGTCTTGGAATGGGTGAAACCAAGTTTCTCCTTGGAGGCTAGGATTTTGAAGCTGTGCCTCACTTACTTTGGGCACGTGGCCAGGAGAGACTGGTCATTGGAGGAGGACATCATACTCAAAGAGTGGAGAGACAGCACAGGAAAGGAAGACCCTGTATGAGATGATTTATAGGGTAACTAGGGCAGTGAGGAGTAGGTGTGTCAGATTCAGTGAGACTGGCTCAGGACAAGGCAGGGTTCAGAATTGTACATAGAATCACTGTGAGTGGCAGGCGACTTGACAGCACCTAACAACAACATACTAACTGCATTGTTGAATATATTTTCATATATTTAGTGGCCAAAGGAATACCTGCTTTGGTGAAATGTCTATGCAAGTCCTCTGTCCATTTTGGTCTTGATAACTTCTGAATCCCAAACCTGACCCTCTCCTTGTGAGTTTTCTTGTTCATCCTGCTTGTTTTAACTGGATGTCAGCTGAATGCCAGGCCCTGACATAGACCTGATATAGCAAGCACCGGGCTAATCAGTGAGACCCAACTGGAGGTGGTGTGTGAGAATAAGGCAAGACTGTAGAAAGGAGGGCGCGGAGTGAAAGGTCGAGTGTTGGGACAGGTTGTGCCTTTTACCTTTTCTTCATTGTGAAGGGAGTACTTGTGCTAAGATGTGAAAAAATAACCAGCATGTGGACATTGCAGAACTGCATGTCTGGCCAGAAGCTGAGGGGTTTGCCAGTGATGAAGAGTTCATCTCCAAAGGCAAGCATCTTTGTCACCCACTGGACAGAGATGACACATGTAAGGGAGTTATGGGGCCTGACTCTTGTTGGATGTCACAAGTTGGGGTCTCAGCGCTGTCAGTCTGAGCCAGGTCATAGCCCAGGGGTAGCCTCTTAGCGACATAGGTGAAGGGTGCCCATGGTCTCAGAGCACAGCGTCTGTCTACACAGGAACAATCATGTCGACCCACAGCAGAGGCACTGCACTTCCCCTTGGCCTCTTGGAGCAGGCAGGGTGCATGCTGGATTGAGCAGTGCCACTGATCCCTGTGGTCAGCAGCAGTCAGGGCCATGTTCACCATGTGTGCAGCCGTCTCTGAGCATGTGAACATGCCATGTTGGGCACCTTCCTGTTTTGCTTTTTTTGTTTTTCTATTATATAACTAAATTCTGAAAACATTCCACAGATGCTTTAAAAATGGATATATTCAGAAAGCAAGCTAAGTTCTATGACTTGTAGTGTTGTTATGTGCCATTGAGTCACCTGTAACTCTTAGCGACCCTGTGTATAGTGTCTCTGAACTTTGCTCTATCCTGAGCCAGTCTCACTGTCTCCGACACCTGCTCCCAATCTCCCAGTTATTACTGAGTAAGTTCATCTCATTTAGGGTCTTCTCTTGCACTGTACCTCCATCCTTCTGAGGATGAAGTCCTCCTCCAGGGACTGGTTCTTCCATGTCACATGCTCAGAGTATGTGAGGTGGAGCCTCAAAATTCTCGGCTCCTAGGAGCAGCCTGGTTTTACTCTCTCCTCGATAAACCTGTTCTTTCCGTTGTTGGTAAGCCTGTTTGTTCTCTTGGCAGTCCACGGTATGTTTAGTACTCTTCTCCAGCACCACAACTCAAAGGCAGCAGTTCTTCTGTAAACCCAGGTCATTGTTCAGCTCTCTGAAGCATAGCAAGAAGTTGTAAAGACTATGGCCGGAGTCAGGTATACCTTAGTGTCCAGACTGACATCTTGCACTTTGCAGAGGACCCTGACAGCACCTTTCCCCAGAAAGTTTGGTTTAACTGCTTGTGCCAAGAGTGTTGATTGTGGACCTGAGCAGGTTGAAATTGTTTACAATTTCCATCTCATCTCCATTCACTCTGTCCTGCACCTTTATAGCATGACTCTTGTGTCTCTCTGCCACTACAGCTTGACCGCATCGACTCCAGGGCCGTGCAGCTGGGCTCTCTGTTTGTCCGTGGCCTCACCACACTGGTGTTTGTCAACAGTGCATGTAGCTTCCCCTTCGATGTGAATGACTTCATGCCCTGGAATGTCTTTGACGGGAAGCTCTTTCATCAGAAGTACTTGCAGTGTGAGAAAGGACACTCTGTGGAGGCACTTCTGGAGCATGACGTAAGTCTGCATTATGCATGAGCCACATGACATGAAGTGACAGCAGCCAGACATGGTTGAAGCGGCTTCACATAGTCACACGGCCACAGCAGCCACACAGTCAGACAGCCAGCCACAGTCACACCAAATCCACGGGACCCCACCTGGTCAGATGCAGTCACAGCAGCCACACAGTCATACCAGATACACAGGACGATACACCAACAGCTAGAGGCATTGGCAACAGCCAGACATTGCAGTAGCTTCACATGGTCACACAGCCAGACACAGTCATACTAGATACACAGGGCCACACACGGTCAGACATGCTCACAGCTGGGTACTGTCAGGCTCGCCGGCATGGTCACGGCAGTCCTGGGGCTAGACATGGTTGCAGCAGCGAGGCATGGCCATCTTGGCCAGGTGAACGCTAGTGGCTCTGGTGGCTCAGGTGCACAGCCCTCTAGACCTTTGGCTTCTCCATAGGTGACACCAAGATTGTGGTTACATTTGCTAGGTTGCTGCTTTCAATGGAGAGGCTGTGCTGCCCCGTACCCCAGAGCACCCAGTGTTCCTGCAGGCCCGCAGTGGGCCTCCATGCCCCACAGCTGTCATCCAGGGAGGCTAGCTCTCACCCAGCTTCACACAAACCTAATTTCCACAGTGTTCACCTTTTTTCTTTTTAATAAGTAACTCTCCTAGGTGTAAGTTTGTGATCACCAACTGGCCTCACACGAGTAATTAATGAGTTCTTGCTTAAATTACTCAGTAAAAGTTGAAAGTTCTTAGGCAGAAGTAATTGACCAGTTGAGGAAAGAATGAGAATGACAGTCTGTGATGCTTTCTGGGTTCTTGGGTGAGTGTCTGACTTTGAGGGATTTGTTGTTGCTGTTGTGTACCACTGAATCAGAACCAACCCAAAACTGACCCTTGAGCGGGTTTTCAGAGGCAAAAATCAATCACATGGGAGAAGACTGTCTCCTGCGGAGCAGCTAGTACAGCCACACTGTGTACCTTCAGGTTCAAATCGGTCTGTCTTGGAGAGGGTGAAACCAAGTCTCTCCTTGGAGGGTAGGATTTTTAAGCTCTGCCTCACTTACTTTGGGCATGTGGCTAGGAGAGATTAGTCCTTGCAGAAGGTCATCATGCTCAGAAGGGTGGATGGACAGTGCAGGAGAGGAAGACCCCAGATGAGATGGGTTGATACAGTGACTGGAGCGATGGGGGTTGATGTGTCGGAGTTAGTGAGATTGGGTCAGGACAGGGAAGGGTTCAGAGCTGCTGTACACAGGGTCGCTATGCATTGCAGGCAACTCAATGGCACATAACAACAATGACGTACTGTGACAGGTTTGGAAGCAGAGTAGCACTGACTTCCTAAACAACATGCCTCCAGAAACTCGATGAACTTTGATAAATGCCGTTCGTTGTAGTGGGGCTTCAGGCCTTTTGTTCATAGAGTTGCCATGATTCATGTCCGACTTGAAGGCAATCAACAACAGCCTTCAGGTTGGCAGCGCTCCCTATTAAGTAGTGATTCTAACCACAACCTAGTTCCAAGAGCTGCCCTGACTCCCAAGGCCAAGGCTCTCGGACTCAGCCCTGTGCCCGTCCCTCTGTCGCTCTGGGTTCTGTTCTGAGTGGCTTATTTAACACTGTCCTTGGTTGCAGAGGTTCCGGATGACCCAGTTCCAAAACCTCCAGTCCGTGATAGTGAAGGCCTGCTTAAAGGAGAACCGGCATATCCAGAGCTGGCAGCACTGGCGCACACACCACACAGGTGGGCACACACCACACAGGTGGGCACCAAGCCCAGGGTGTCTGGTAGATGTGCTGGAGCTTGAAGGAGAGGGGACCTTAGCCTGACAGGCTCTTTCTACTGATCAGCCTGCAGGAAGGGCATCTGTTCTAAGTTGACCACAACCCTGGTTCCCCCAGGCCTGAGACTTCTCTAGGATGAGAGGGATTGGAAAAATCAGGACATAAACGAGGAAGAAAATGAGAATGGCCTTAACTTCTGTGCCTGAGGTAGTGAGAGAGATGCAGTGTCTGGGCTCTGTGTTATCAGCTTGCCCTGTCTGCTGGCCCTCTCCCAGCCACCATGCGTTCTGTGGTCATAGTCTCCCCAGGCACACCTCCTGTCTGCTTATATCCTTTTTAAAAAAATTTATTTTTATTGTGCCCTGAGTGAAAGTATCCATGTCTACTGTGGCAGCCTATGATTTTTGTGGAATAGCTGAACCAGCCTCAAACCCCTGCCTACCAGGTCTCTTAGGGACATGCTGGCATCAGCCCAGGGCTCTCAGAGTGGCCTCAGTGAGTGACCCAGAGAGAGCGCGCGATGGGCAGGAAGACTTTCTTCCTGAACCCCAGAACGCCTGCCTCCTGGTTCTTAGTCCTGTCCTTCCTAACAGCTGCAGTCAGCATTGACAGCAGAGTGCCCATTAGCAAATGCAGTCCTTGTGCAGCAAGCCCGAGGGCAGCCAGATTGCATCCTCTGCACCGGGGAGAACACTGGTGGCCCTCATGGACATTCAGTGTCCCCAACAGAGGTCATGCTGTCCCAGGACACCCTGCCTCTGAGGGAGCATGTCCTGGTTTGTCCACTTCTCACCACAGCTTGTGTGGGGCCTCTGGCCTTTTCTGGTTGACACAAATGGGGCCCAGTCCTCACATGGGAACCCAAGCAACTCTACTCTTACATCCAGAAAGAACAGACCGAGGAGGGATGATGATAGAGCTGGTCACGCTTCTCCTCACTGTCTTAGCTGCCCAGCCCCTCCATTGGCCTCTCCTCACCTACAATAACCGCTCAGCCCCTCCACTGGCCTCTCGTGAGCAGCCCACAGTGCTCTCCCGACTGCCCTGACAGGCTGTTGAGTTCTGAGGATGAGACATTTACTGGTCTGCTGGAATGTGGTTGTTCTCAGTCCAGTTACAGTCATGTGCTGGCTGTACTTTGGTGCCAGTTGTCATTGCACCAGTTGTCATCAGTCAGTTGTTAGGTGCTGGTTATGCACAGGTGCGGCTTTGACTTGTACTTAGTGGCCTGTGCTCACTGCCTGTGGTCACTGCTGGTTGTACTCAGTCATTTGTGGTCACATGGTGCTTTTTCTTGTGGTCACACTAGTTGTCACATTCCAGTTGTACTCAACTTCCAGTTGTCACATGCTGCTTTTACTTGTACCCATCTGTTGACTATCCTTGAATGCAAGTTGTACTCACATACTTATTATGTTCTACAGGTCAGTGGGCAAGACAGGGCTCCAATTCCCAGTGGACCAGCTCCGGGTGGTATGGCCCTCCAGGAGGACATGGACAGCCTCAAAGGAACCAAGGGCCAGGTAAGACTTGAGTATGAGACATTGTGTTCAGTGAGAGTTGCCAGCATCTTTTTTGGAGACAGAGGTATTGAGAAGCAGGTGAACAGATGGTACCGTGCTTTCCTGTCGTCTCTGTCCAGACCCTGAGGGCCACCCGTGCTGTAAGGCCCCTCACGCAGGACGTCTGCAGCTGCTCAGCACCAGCACTTGTGTGTAGGGACCAGGTTTACGTATGGCAGAGCTCCGTTCAACTCAGCCACCACATTGATGGCCCTCAGAGTGTGGCTGGTACCCACTTTCCTGTCCTGCCCACACGTGAGAGTCTGCATGCTCTTAATGGTGCGAGGCCGTCTGGCAGATGTGGCAGTTTCAGCTCCTAAATCTGGGAGAGAGGAGGGTAGATAGCTGTCTGGGTGGGGCCACACTGGCCACAGGAGTGCGGGCTAGAGCTGGTAGAGAGCCAGGACAGGTAGTGAAAGTGAGTCGGTGGGAGATGGGCCAGTGGGCCAGCACCTCCTCTCATGAAGGACAAGTGCACATAGTTCCTAGACTCATACCCTTTGGACTCCAAGGTGGTTCTGAAGCTGATCCCCAATGCCTCTCTGATAAAATGACCAGAGTACTCTGGTCCTGGTCCACCCAGTGTCCATTGTGACAGCACAGGGGGTCCTGGTCCTTGGAGTGTCCACTGTGATAGAGAAGGGAGTTCTGGTCCACACAGGGTCCACTATGACAAAGCAGGTGATCCTGGTCCACACAGTGTTCACCGCGGCAGCACTCTTACACAGCAGGGGGTCCTGGTCCACACAGTGTGTCCACTATGCGGGTGGGTGGTTTTGGTCCACATGATGTCCATCCGAGCAGGCAGTCCTGAGTCCAGCTCTGGTGCACAGGGCCACCATTGTCATGCTTGGTGCACTGGTCTTTGCTCACTATAGTTCCCCAAATCTGTCAGGAACTTGAGCTGTTTTCATGTGGTCCTGCAAGTGTGACCAAGGGCCAGGTGACCGTGCAGCAGTTTGTGAATGAGAGTGCCTGGGTGGCCCTTGTCTGACCAGACAAGGAGTCCAGAATCACGGGGCTTCAGCAGTTATTAAGGGACAGACCCCAACATGGCCAGGGTCAGCATGCACTGCACAGCTGGGATATGTGGAGCAGAGTTCAGACCCCTTGCTCTGGTGTGCCTCCATCTAGGGTCGTCATGTGACAGTTGAAGATGTTCTGAACTACCTGCATGTCAGTCAAACATGAGCTCAAGGCCTAGGCAAGTGAGTTCCTCCCAAGACAGGCCCCATCCTTTGGGGGTGTTGGAAGGTAGGGCCTCTATTAAGTGGGGTATATTACTTACAGGAAAAGTGCCAGCCTCTGGAGTCTAGGTGAATTGAGGTGTGAGGGTTGGGCTGGTGTGGACAGGATTTTAGGAATGGTGGTAGCTGCTGTTGTTTCCCAGCAAGTCTAAACCGACCTGTAGCCCCACGCGCCAGCAGCTTTTTCAGAGGCAGCTGATCACAAGGGAGGAAAGTGCCCATCTTTCGCTCATGGAGCAGCTGGTGGTTTCAAACCACGTGCCTTTGGGATTCCAATGCAGCTTCCTACCATTAGGCCACCAGGGCTTCCTTTAGGAATGGAGGTGAGAGAAATTAAGTCTCCTGTTAAAAAGAGATGAAAGCAGAAATAAGCCACTTGTATAGTAAAAGACAAGACTTGGGATCGGAGAGTCTGTGACCAGTCTGACCTAGGTCCTGTGTGCAGTGCGGTTGGTTAGGACTTGGCCCGACATGTCCACTCTCCTGCTGCCACAGGGAGGCTTCGGAGGTGAGTGCCCACAGGTCACTGCCTGCTTTTTAGAGATGGATTCTGTCACTATTTCCAGAAAAAGGGAGCAGGCTGAATCACTGTGCTAATAAAGTTACCAAAACTTCATTGCCCAAAATCTGAGTTGACTGCCCTGGGCAGAATGTGAGAGTCAGGTGTGGGGGAGGCCAGACACCATTTGCACACAACTTGGGGAAAACAGTTCTCCCTGTGAGGATGTGAGCCCTCCCTGTGGAGGTGTGAGGGGCCCAGGCCCCACCACAGCGGGGAGAGAGGTTGAGGTGAGCCTTACCAAAGTGGCAAAAACTTGAAAGCCCTGAGAACTGGGATACTGAGGTGACCTGCTGCTGTGTCCTAAAGAACAAAGGGCCTCCTGGGAAACACCCCACTCAGCAGAGGGGCAAGGACGTGTGAAATTCCACAGGCACTAACTACTCTATGTTCCACTCCACCATTCTCACCCTGGGTGCTGGAGGCCAGCCTTGCAGAGCACTTCTATGCCCCCATCTGTGTAACATTTGGTTTCAACAGACACCTTCTTTTGGCCCCCTAGGACTTGTTCTGATGGAGGTGTGAGGTCTTGGGGACAGGGGTATAGGGACGGATGCAGAGGCCTTGAAGGAGCAGGCTTTGGTGTCCAGAGAAAAGGACAGCTGGGAAGGTTTTCTGCCCAGCATGTGGCTACCACACACTGGCCCTCCTGCCTCAGCCCTCACTTACAGGAGCACGAAGTGGCATTGGTGATGGGGGAGATGCGTAAACACCAGCCCAGGACTTAGATGTGGACACTTGTCCTCATTCCCCTAACAGTGCCTGTATCCTGACGTCACAGGGCTGTGGGAGACTCGGCCAATGCCCAAGCCCAGATGTGACCAGGGACTGGGACCCTGGGGGCATGGGTTCTGTCCTGGAAGGAAATGCTTCCTTTGATGTGTTGCTTCCACTCTGATGAATGGAGTAAGGAAAGAACAAAACCTTGCCGGCAGGTGCCATGTGTAAGACAGCATAAAGTTCTGTCCCCAAAGGTGGCTCCTGTGTTGCTTCTGAAAGTTCCTTGGGATGTGTGGAGGGTGTCTCTGTCTGTAGTTGACGCTTGTTCTCATTTCCTCCTCTGGCCCAGGAAGCCGACAATACAGGCATGACCAGTGAGGAAACAGCCTTGTCTCAGGTGAGCCTCCACTTTCCCAGAGAGGCAGCCCCAGAGCTGGCCAGTGTGAGTCAGGCCCTCTGGTGGGAGACCTCCAGACACGGGGTGCTGGGGGGTGGATTGGATAGTGGACGAGGAGGAGGGGACACAGCTTCTTGTCAGTGAGTCCTCAGCTGGCCCAGGCTTGGTGGGTTAGAATCCTGAGGAGTGACATTGGCAGGAGATCGGACAGAGGCCTGAGCCATGGCCTTGGGTCCTGGCTGAGTGGAGGTTGGCAGTGACATTGTTCATGCTGGGAGCGGTGCAAGGACAACACCTTGGCAAATAATGGAATTGATCAAGATAGAACTCTGTAAAAAAGACATGAAGCTGTCCTGTAAGTTTAAAATCTCTCTCATAAATGCACTGTAAGTGCACTCTGGCTTCTGGGATCACACCCCTTCCAACCCACTCCTCCTGTCCCAGCTCTGTTCCTCTGCCCTCCTTCATGTCCCAGCATCCCCAAACCATGGCCCCCTACACCTTCACACTGAGTGCCCCAAGGCCCTGTCTCCTGCACCTGGCTTGCCCCTCACCCCTGGCCCCCACCACGTCCACACCTGAGTACCTAAAGTCCCCTTCTCCTGCACCCTGGCTTGTCCCTCACACCTGCCCTCCTATACCCCCACACCCAGGTACCCCAGATCATTCTCTCCTGCATCTGTCTTGCCCCTCAAACCCAGGCCCCCACACTTCTAGACTGAGCACCCCAGATGATTCTTCTGCGTGACTTACCGCTCATACCTAGCTCCCTACACCTCCATACCCAGGTACCCCAAATACCCTTCTCCTGCACCTAGCTTACCCCTTAGACCCAGGCCCCCATACTTCTGCACTGAGTACCCCAAATCCCCCTCTATCTTACCTGGCTTGCCTTTCACACCTGGTCTCCCACATTTCCAAAGCCTCATTCCCCTTACATCCCCACCCAACACTTTCACCTCCCCCTCCCCCTCCCCCTGCTAGCTCACTTCACACAGGGCCCTCTGTCAGTAGGGAGGGGAAAGGGTTGGGGACCTTGTATGCTTCTTCTCTTGCAGGTGGTCCAAGTGACCCGCAGACCCAGACCTGAACAGCATTTTCAGAGAGCGCCTGAATGTAGATCTGGTGTGGTATCTGGCATCATGCTCTTGTCACCAGGCCTCTCAAGACATCAGCATCCTGAAACCTGTCACTTGGGCAGCTGCGTGGACTAAGAAAATACACGCTGCCACCTCTTGTCGCTCAGAGCACAGACCTCGTCCTCCCATCCATGCCTTCTTTCATTGGACACTTGTTCGTTATCTCATGGGCGTTAGATGAGACACATGTGCTAAAATAAGAGAAGCAAAGACCTTGGTCCTTCTGTGTGTCCGCTGCTTGGGGACTCTGACTCCCACCATTAAGTGCATCACACCTGTGGAAACCTCATCTGTGTAGAAGCAGCACATTGTGTATGTGTGAGCCATGCAGTGCATATCTGTGAGCAGTACATCACATGTGTGAACAGTGCAGCACATGTGTGTGAGTGGTACACCATACACGTATGAGCAATATATCATGTGTGAGCAGATCTTTGGACTGCCCATCACACATGTAAGCAGTGCGCGTGTGAATAATACCTCACATGCATGACGAGTAGTGAAAAATACACTTGGGAAGGGACCACAGTGAGCAAACATACATCACTTATATGAATAGTTATGACATGTATTCCATACATCTCATATGTATAGTACACATATGAATAGCCCACCACACATGTAATCCATGCACACATGAACAGCACATGCATGGATACCACATCACACATGTGAGCTGTACCCATGTTAACAGAACATGTAAAAATACCCCATCTCGCATGTGAACTGTACACACATGGGAGCTAAAAACGTGACCATTACATGTAGGAACAACTACCATGTGTGAGCTGCACATGTGAATATGTGCATGGACAGCCCACCGCACATGCCAGCTATACATGTGAGCAGTCCATGCATGATCACGTGTGGGCGCTGTATACCAGAGAACAGTCCATGTATGATCACCACCTGTGGGCGCTGTATACCAGTGAACAGTAGAGGCTGCTGTACATGTGCACATTACATATATGAACAACTCATCGTGTTTGAGCCATTCATGTGTGAATGACACCTGTGAGCAGTACATGTATGAGCAGCCCATCACACATGTAAGCTGTACACGTGAGCAATACCTGAATGAATACCCAATGGCACATGTAAGGCATACACATGGGAACAGTAGATGTATGAACAGCCCAACACCTGGTGATCTAGGTGTGAACAGCCCACCGTATGTGTGAGCTGTTCACAGTGAACATGTACATCCCACACTGGACTGCACAGTGTGTGTGACTAGCTACACTTTTTTTTTGAGATTTTAATGAAAGTTTATAGAGAACTTTTATTTCCATTCATTCATTGTTGCACATTTTCCTCCCTGCCCTCCACTCCCAGTTCATTTTTCTCTTTGGAAAAAAAAAATTCTTTCATAATTGTAATTCTACACTCCCACACCAGTCCACTTTATTATGCAGCTCTTATTCTGGACTGTTATCATATGAATAATACCTAATCATATTCTCCTTTTAAGCACTTCTTTCCCTCATTTGTTTCCATGCCATGTACATTATTTATCCCCTCTTAGTTCCCCCAACCCCCATGTCAGTCCTGTTTTACAACAGTGGCATTATGCAATATTTGTCCTTTTTGACTTAGATATTTCACTCAGCATACTAGCATCACTGTTTCCCTAGTTTGTGGTTTCCTGTGTGCACATCCCATGGTCCTAATGTACAGGGATATATGTGTGTGTTCATGCCTTTTGCACTCTTAACAGCCATTGTTGGCCATTGCCCTTGTGTCCATGGGTAAAGGAGAGTGAAGGTGGTTTTCCTGCTCACCCAGCATGCTGCTGCTTCCCTCAGTGTGGTCATTGTTTGGTGGGCCTCTGAATGTCATGTACTGAGCGAGGCTCAGACAGCAGTGTTAGCACCCCAGTGTTGCCATATGGTCATTCAAACTGCCTTAATTGTGTGCATCCCTGCAGTGCTCGGAACTCCTCATAGTTCTCTGCCCAAGATAGGATTTAACTGAGAAAGGCCAGAGTGATAACCTCTGGGATCCAGGATTCTCGGGGGATCATCCCTGTAGGGGAGTCTTCTGGGTGTCCCCATGGGAGTATCCTCATAGGAGTTTCCCCATGGACATACCCTTGTAGACGCTGAGTGCTCCTATGGGAGTCTACAGTCCCAGGGTTATGGGGGCTCTCTGGTGGCCTGGTGAGAAGAAGTTGTGCTGCAATCCCGAAGGCATGCAGCTTGAATCCACCATTCTCCTCCCATGCAGTTAACTGCCTTGGTGGAGTTAGGGGGCAACCAGCCAGAGGGGTCAGCTGTGGGTCACTTCTGACTCAGTGGTACACAGCAACAACATGTCCTCAGAAGGGGACCATACACCCCAAGGGGATGGAGGCTCTGTCCTGAGTCAGGGGGGACTGAACATCCCAAGGGGATGTAGGGGCTCTGTGTCAGGGGGTCCTGAGTGTCCTGGGTCAGGAGGGGGATACTCTGTGTCCTGAGTTGGGGAGACTATATATCCTTAAAGGGTGAGAGCTCTGTGTTCTGAGTTAGGAGGCAGGTATTGTATACCCTGAAGGGATGGCGGATGTGTCCTGGTTCAGGAGGGTGCTGTACACTCTGAGGGGATGGGGGGTTTGTGTCCTAAATCAGGGGGAGACTGTACACCCTCAGAGGATGGGGGCTCTATGTCCTGAGTCAGGAGGGAGGTACTGTATACCCTGAAGGCGGGGAACTCTATGTCCTGAGTCGGGGAGACACTACAGCCTGAGGAGATGGAAGCTCTGTGCTGAGTCAGTGGAGACTGTTTACTTCAAGGGGATGAGGGCTCTGTGTCCTGAATCAGGAGAAGGAATTCTACACCCCAAGGGTATGAGGGGCTTTGCACCCCGAGGAGATGCTCCAAAAACATCATGATGGAACTGCTAACCAGCTGGGAATTGCGGCCCAGGCAAGTTGACATCCAGCCTTAACCATCACAGGCAACGGGATCTTCACATCCCGCCTCAGACATGATGTTGGACTGTCAATGGCATGTTGGACAGGGAGTCACTGTAGGCAAGAGGATGACTTGGCTGCAGTGCAGGGAACAGTTAAATATGGTTGCTGTGACCCTGCCCTGCTTGAAGGAGCTTGAGGTGGCAACTGAAAGGTCAGCATTTCAAATAACATCCCACATTCTGAGGGAGAAATTAGTCTTCTCCCACAAGGATGTACAGCCTTGGAAAGCTGCTGGAGGAAGCCCACGTGCCCAGGTGAGCAGCAGTTGTGGAACGCTGGTGGCCTCGTGGTAAGTAATTGCGCAGACATCGTGAGGAGCTTGGGGCTTTGACTCCACAGCTGTTCTGCTGGGAAAAGATGGGCAGTCTTTCAGGTGCAGTGTACTACTGCCTGACCCCACGGGAGGATCCGCTATGTGTCGGTTTTGACTTGATGGCATACAACAATACCAGCTCACACACTTGACCAAAAGCACCTCTCTGATTCTGGAATCGCGTAGGGCTCGCAATTGGCTGTTCACGTGTGTACAGTTCACATGTGCTGGACTGACTTCTTGACGGTTCCTCTGCTCTGGTTTCTCCCCACACTTCAGACCAAGTTGGCTCTTCTCACCTGTGGAGGCGCTTCAAGTGCAGCTGCTCCTTGAAGCAGCAGGCACACATTTAACTGAACAGTCCTGAGCTCTCGTGTGCCATCCAGTATTTGTGCGTGTGTCCTCCAGGGCTGCCTGTGCGAGAGTGCGACGGGTACTGTCTCCATGCCCACTGAAGAGCCAGATAAACAGGAAATGGTGGTGGACAAGACCTGGCAGCCTCATGACCCTGAATAGACAGGAGGGGATGGTCGACAGCATGGCAGCCCCGTGACCCTGAGCCCACACCCCAG